CCATGTGTTATTCCGGCCTTGCTAGTACCGAAGAAAGATAGCAGTTGGAGAATGTGCGTTGATAGTCACGCAATTAACAGAATCACTGTCAAGCACAGATTTCCCATTCCACGGTTGGATGATATGCTGGATATGTTGGCGGGATCAAGTCTTCACCAAAGTGGACCTCAAGAGTGAATACCATCAAATCAGAAACCGCCCTGAGGATGAGCGAAAAACGGCATTTAAGACAAAATAAGGACTGTACAAGTGGTCAATCATGCCATTCGGATTATCCAACCCGCCAAGTACTTTTATGCGGTTGTTGAATCAGGTACTCAAACCATTTATTGGTCGATTTGTAGTTATTTATTTCGACGATATTCTGGTTTATAGTCAAACAGAGGCAGAACACCCTTTGCGCTAGAGAGATGTATTAACAGCTTTGCAGAAGAATAAACTGTTCATTAATATGAAGAAGTATAGCTTTGTGACCCCAAGGAAAAACTGTCAACAACCCCAATCTTAGTCCTTCCAGATTTTGAGAAGTTATTCCAGGTGGATTGTGATGCTTCACTAGTGGGAATCGGAGTAGTTCTATCACACGAAGGAAGGCCAATAGCGTTTTACAGAGAGAAGTTGAGTGAAGCACGCAAGAAATGGACTAACCATGACTTGGAATTCTATGCGGTGGTGCAAGCTTTGCATACGTGGGAGCATTGTCTTATCCAACGAGAGTTCGTGTTGTTTACAGATCCCCAGGCACTGAAATCCATGACTTGGGAGGGCTTGGAATTAGGAGATTGGCCACTTTCAATTGTGCTCTTCTTAGTAAGTGCCTTTGGAGATTTGGTAAGGAAAGACATAGATTATGAAGAAAGGTTATCTCATGTCGCTTTGGGGAGGAGAGAGGAGGGTGGTCTGCTGGATCAGTCAGGTCTGTTGGCGGAGTGGGGGTGTGGAGGGCCATTGGTAAGGGGTGGGATGCCTTTTCCACCATTGTCTTATCCAACGAGAGTTCGTGTTGTTTACAGATCCCCAGGCACTGAAATCCATGACTTGGGAGGGCTTGGAATTAGGAGATTGGCCACTTTCAATTGTGCTCTTCTTGGTAAGTGGCTTTGGAGATTTGGTAAGGAAAGACATAGATTATGGAGAAAGGTTATCTCATGTCGCTTTGGGGAGGAGAGAGGAGGGTGGTCTGCTGGATCAGTCAGGTCTGTTGGCGGAGTGGGGGTGTGGAGGGCCATTGGTAAGGGGTGGGATGCCTTTTCCAAACATATTAGATTCAGAGTTCGGGATGGAAGAACTATCCGGTTTTGGGAGTATCCATGGTGTGATGATAGGCCTTTGGCCCTTTTGTTTCCCAGGCTTTTTAGGATTGCTGTCGACAAACATGCAATGGTTGCTGACTATTATCGCCTTGATAGTGGAAGGTTGTCTTGGGATGTGCGTTTCCGGCGAGCTTTTCAGGATTGGGAGCTGGATGATGTCACTGGGTTTTTGGCTCTTCTTTACGGACAGGAGGTGGAGGGGTCTGGGGCAGATTCTTTGATTTGGGTGCCTTCTTCTCAAGGGATGTTCCAGGTCCGGTCTTTTTTTGTGTGCCTTTCTGGTTTTCATGGTACCTCATTCCCATGGAAGATGGTGTGGAGGTCTAAGGCGCCTCTTAGGGTGGCCTTTTTTGTGTGGACTGCAGCTTGGAGTAAGATTTTGACGTTGGACAACTTGAGAAAGAGAAGACATATCATTGTTAATAGGTGTTGTCTTTGCAAGATTAATGGGGAGTCGGTGGATCATCTTTTGTTACACTGTCCTGTGGCTCATGATTGTTGGAGTTTGATGTTTGGCCTGTTTGGTATTCATTGGGTCATGCCTCGGACATCTTGGGAGTTGTTAGATATGTGGAGGGGCCAATGGGTGGGGGCTCAGGTCAAAGTTTTTTGGAGGGTGATCCCTTTTTGTATTTGGTGGAGCCTTTGGAGAGAGCGTAATGGAAGATCTTTTGAAGGAAAGGAATCCTCCATTGGGGTGTTAAAATTTTCTATCATTTGTAATTTGTTTTGTTGGGGTCAGGGGAGAGACTACTCCTCTCTTGAGGAGATTGTTGACTTTATGAGTTCTTTGAATTCATAGGCTCCGTTTTGTCTTTGTATAGTTTGGGTCGCGTTCCCCTTTTTGAACGCTTTTAATACAATTTACTTATCACAAAAAAAAAAAAAAATGCACGCGTGATGGGCGGCTTATATCCAACGATTCACCTTCTCGCTAAAACACAAGTCAGGCCAACAGAACAAAGTTGCAAATGCACTAAGTTGGAGAGTAGCTTTCTTAGTGACTATGAAGGCTGAAATCACAGGGTTTGAGTGCCTGAAGAAGTTATATGAAGCCGACGAAGATTTTGGCCAAGCCTGGGCAACGTGTAAACGAGCCAATCCTTTAAAGGGTTGCATATGCAGGAAGGATTTCTCTTTAATGGCAATCAGTTGTGTATTCCACGGAGTTCTTTGCGGGGAGCAAGTGGTTCTTGAATTGCATGGAGGAGGATTAGGAGGACATTTGGGGCGTGATAAGACATGAGAGTTGGTAGAAGAACGGTATTATTGGCCGCAACTCAAGCGTGACGTGGAGAACCATGTGCGGCGGTGCTCAATCTGCCAAACTAATAAAGGTCAATCTCATAATACTGGTCTTTATACGCCGCTGCCTATTCCAGATGCTCCATGGAATGATTTATCCATGAATTTTATTCTAAGGTTGCCGAGGACGCAGCGAGTTGCAGACTCTGTTTTTGTGGTGGTTGATTTTCCAAGATGTCCCATTTTATTGCATGCAAGAAGACGAACAATGCAATTCAAATGGCCAATCTGTTCTTTAAGGAGGTGGTTCATTTACATGGGGTGCCACAGTCCATTACCTCAGATCGTGACACCAAGTTCTTGTCTCACTTTTGGCGGACTTTATCGAAAAAATTTGATACCTATCTTAATTTCAGTAGTACTAGTCACCCCCCACCCCATACTGAAGGCCAAACAGAGGTGGTGAATAGGACCCTTAGAAATCTAATTCGCTGTATTTCAGGAGAGAAACCAAAACAGTGGGATCTTGCTCTTGCCCAGACAGAATTTGCTTATAATTGCGTGGTTAACAGGTCCACGGGCAAATCCCCATTTGCGGTTGTGTATTGTTGTCCTCCAAAAGTTGTTTTGGATTTGGTAATCCTTATCGAAGTTGTTGGGGAAGAGTATTGTTGTAGAGAAAATGGTTGAGCACATTAAGACCATTCAGGAGAGTGTTAAGAAAAATCTAGAGGAAACTTACGGCAAATACAAGGCTGCAGCTGACAAGAGACGAAGGAAAAGAGTATTTGAAGAAGTGGACCTGCTTATGGTGTATCTAAGAAAAGAGAGGTTTCTAGTGGGAACATACAAGAAGCTGAAGGCTAAGAAATATGGTCTATACCAGATTCTAAAGAAAATCAATGACAACGCCTATGTAATTGATTTACCTGTTGACATGGCCATTTCTTCTACCTTCAATGTGGCTGACATACATGAATATTATCCGCCAAATTCGAGTAACTCGGGGACGAGTTCTTTTTACGCAGGGGAGACTAATGTAGAACAGCTTGCTCACGATTATCTGAGTATACATGATCATTGCAAATCATGGAAGCAGAAAAGGTATGAAGAATAGAAGAAAAAAATAAATAAATAAGGAAAAGTCAAAAGGAGATTTGGTGTAATTGTCAACAATAGAAGATATTATTCTCCATTGCAAGAATTAAAGAGGATTCAGAAAATAAATAAAAAGATTTCGTGTAGTTGCCAACAATAGAAGATATCATTCTCCATTGCAAGATTTAAGGAGGATTCTGCTCCATCAAATCTCATATTTCCCCATTAATATTATTTCACGCATGCTTTCTTTTTCTTTTTTTTTTACTTGCCTATATAAAGGCAAGAGATGTAAGTTTACAAACATCATCAATATCAATATAATTTTAGTTTCTCTCTTGTGAGGGTGTTCTTTGTCAATTCAAGGGTTTAACCCCGTTCTTTATTGTTTCCGCTACATTAAGAGGAGATAAAATCCAAGGATTTGTCTTCCAGTAAAGTCTTTCCTTATTAGGTGAGGACATCCGGAAGGTTGCTTTCATAATCTCATTGTAACCATATGTGTGTGTGTGTGTGTGTGTGTGTGTATTTTTTAAATTTATGTTCCAACTTAAAACAAAAAAGTTCTTGCATGAATCAAAAAGGTAGATGGATGCCATTTGCCTACTTAATAGATCAGAAATGAATATTTGCTACAATTATTGCGAATTTTTTTCCAATTATAAATTCATTCTTAAATAATTTGTTTTTATCTTACAAGTATTCACCATATTATGTAAATGGCATTCTTAATCATGCCTTATTATGGACTCAAGATCTTTAACTTATATTTATAGTAATTAACATCTTTTATTTCAGCTTTGGTAAATGTCAAACTTTTGGTAGTAATTAGTAAATGTCAAACTTTTGGTAGTAATTAACCCCTGTTATGTCAATAAATAATTCCATATTTGGACATAAATTTAGCACCTTAATATCAACTATTATTATTGAGCAAGGTTTCGATAGTTTCCTAATTTTTTGGTATTTTGAAATTATATGATTATAAGAAGGTTATTTTGATATTTTATAATAAGGGATTGGAGGATATTTTGGACCTCAACAATAATTCTTGATGCATTTATAATCATTTTATTTGATTCAATCAAATTGAAAAATAAACTTTTAAAATAGACTATTTTGTTATTTAGGACTCCTAACTCTACTTATATGTAGTTTTCCCTAAATTATATATAGCAAGACAAACGAATGCAATATATCTTCCCACTTCTATTATATTGCGCCATCATATAATGCATATTTGCAGCACAAAATAAATCATTGTACTTTCCAGAATATGGACAAGAACTCCAAATCATATTGAGATAACTAAAGCTAAATCAAGAGCTAGAAGATCACGTGTACCTTCACCATTCAAAAGTACGAGGCCAATCACCATTAAAACGGGGTGGACCTGCAAAACAAAACAATAAGATTACCATATAAAATCACAAGAAACAAAACTATCTTCCACTGCAACATACTTTATATTTGAAGATCGAGAAAAAAATCCATATTTCAACCACAAAATCAGTTTCTTTTTCACAGTTTCCCCTAAAAAAGGTCAAAGTAAGAAACAAAAAGAGTTGTTTAGCAAATAGCTAAAGTTCTAATCTTACACATCCATATGTTTACATGTATGCATGCATGTAAGTATATACATAGTTATTCAAGGCCCAAGGCGCTAGAGGTCCTTTGGAGCCTAGGCACGAGGCGCACGGTGAGGCGCGCGCCTGAGTGAAGTGAGGCGCACAATTGAAAATTTAAACTACCATAATAACATTCATATCTCATAAGTTATACCAATATTCTAAAAATTAATATCAAATATAAAAAAGTAAATCCATCAACTATACAAACATCCAACGACCATAAAATAGAGTACAAATTTGTTTTCTTACAAGGCAAAGCAAAATGTGTTTTTTGAATGGCAAAACAAAGAACAAAAAGAAATAAATATGTTAACAAACAAAAAAAAAAAGAAAAAGAAAAAGCAGAGCGAAAAAAAAAAAAAACAGAGAGATGAGAGAACTAGACGAAGAGAAAGATGTAAACAAAGATAAGAAAAGAGGAGATCTCAAGGAGAAGAGAGAAAAAAGAAAAGAAAAGAAAGAGCTGACGTGGCTTCGTCGCTCATCTTTGCAACTAGGGCTTCATCTTCGTCTCACAATCTCATTCTATCGTTGTTCGGTTAACACTTTGACTCTTGGGCTTTCTTATTTTTTTATTCTTTTGAACAAAAGTTCCTTATATCGTATGATTGAGCTTTCTTTTTTGTTTATGAAGTTGCCAAAAGTAACCTTTTTGGCTTAAGAAATAGAATAATCATATTTTTTAAAACAAATATGAGTGAGGCGCGCCTAGGCGCACCTCATAACAAGACGAGGCGCAACCGAGGCGTGCGCCTAGTAAACATCAGTGAGCCTGGGATGACAACAGGCGTTAAACCTGAGCCTCGAGCCTAGGCGCGCGTTTAACAACACTGAGTATATATGTATGCATATAACTAAAACGTTGAACAAGATAATGTCCATGCAGAACCTAGGTGATGCTCCCTTAAATCACAGTTTATATACTAGTGACACACTGGTGTAACGCACGGGACTGAGGAAATAATTATTTTACTACTATAATGAGAATGATAACAATTTTAGCAAACAGATATGTAAAAGTACGTAGAGAAATTGACATGCCCGTCATGGTATACTTAAAATTGAACCTCGGTCATCAATAGTGAAAATAAGTCTAATAAATATGATAGACATAAAAAATTCAACAAAATGCAAATGATTTAACATTTTTTTTCCTAATAAATTGGTTCCCATAAAATGTAAACAGTGAGGCAAGTTTGTTATTCACAAAATTAAGAAATTATAATCAGACCCATGACCCATCATAATAATTACAGTTCAATGTTAAATACAATTAGGTTACATTACACTTGACAGATAGTAGCCATATAGTTGCCTTCCAAGGAAAAAAGCCTCAAAAACAAATAAAATAGTGAGTTAAGTACATAAATGCAAATATATACAAAGAAAATAGTGAGTTAAGTACACAAGTGCAAATATATATCAGTTCAATGTTTGATACCTTTAATTTAGTATAGAGAAAAATGAGCAAAAACATGGTAAACAAAAAAATATATAAATAACTGGACCTTTACACATTCGCAGAATCAAGAAAATCACCTTCAATATCTTCAAATCACATAAACATAAATAGATAAAGTAGCCTTTGGTTGATAAAATTGAAAATAAAATATTGAAAACTTGAAGTACTTAAATTTCATGCACTAATCATATAGTCTTTTTTACCGGTCTACCTCTAACTTGGTGGCTTTGGGTCTTAACTTCTAAGCTCCGAGTCAAGGTTTCATGACTGGAAGAGAGAAGAAAAAAATTATATAGTTTTTTAAAAATTTGCTTGAACTTAAAGTGTTCGGGTTTAAGTAATAAGTAAAGTCTCCTTCACTTGCATTTTTAAGCAAAACTTATTATTTTAAGTGGCATCTGAATTGCATTATAAAATGCACTTATGTTATTTTGGGAGCATCAATTCGGTGTCTTGGATTTGGGAATGAAGGAAGTTTAGTTTAAATTTTGTACTAAATTTTTTCCAATCCCAAATCCAATGCGCAAATTCAGTGCCGCCAAACATAACATTAACTTATTTAGAATCAAGTGTGAATTGAGTAGTCAAACAACCCTTTAAATTGCCAAGCATAAGGAAAGAGAGAGGTTCTGATAAAGACAATGATAAAGTCAGTAATAAAATAAAAGATAAAGCTAGTTAAAAACAAAAAAAAAAAAAAAAGGCTCCAATCTAAATCTGGCATAAGAAAGAAATCGCCCACAATACTTGCATTTAGAAACCCAATAACAAAGATATGGTGCTACTATCTCAATTAAGCAGCCCTAAGTATTCACACCAGCAATGAATGATCGATCATAGTTTACCAACACAGACACATATTCAAAAAATGCACTTAAAATATACCGATACATATATAAGTGAGTGTTTGTATGTGCAGTTAAATAGTCAGGCAGAGGCATTTCCATGGTGAGATTCGGAAAATGATAAGGTAATTGAGATGTAAAATGAGACAATTAAAGATTAGGGCACGAAAGGGTTAAGAAAATACGTTGAAGATGAGATCTTTGTTGTCGGAGATGAGAGATAATCCTCCTCTGTAATGCACAGTCCATGTAAGAACCAGAGTTGTCACCGTAACTCCAATGATCCTTATCAGAAGAAAGATCGGGAACTGAACCACGGGAACCGCCATCGTCAACTTCTGGGGGAGAGATAGAGTTTTAGAGAGAGAAAAGGGTGTTTTTATTTTGATTTTGCAAGGAAAAGGTGTTCTTTAATGGTGATTTACAGTCGCATGCTCTGAAAGACTTATCAGAGAGAATTCATAAATTAGGGTTTTATATTTAGATATCTTTTTCTAATTTCTACCCAATTAAATGATAGATCAGTTTAAAACGTTGAATCGGACTGCCAAATCAGCACGAAGTCCACGTCAGACGCTGAATGGTCAACGATGCCAAGATGGTCTGGTCTGTTGGCACACTGAAATACTGAATGACAAAAAGTTGCAATGGATTGATATATATATAATTTTTTAACAACCAGCGGATTGATTCACAACACATCAATTTTGTTTTTTTGTTTTAACTTCACAGCACAGAATTTCTCATTCAAGAATGAGACTTTTTCATTGAGCAAGTAAAATCTTTAATAATACTCTCTCTTTCACCTAACAAATAGAATGCTATAATTCAAAAATGAGTGTGTGAATTTTCTTTTTATCATAAACATAAAAATAAAAATAAAATATAGAATTTAATTTGTTTAAATTTCATGATGAATTCATTTTAAAGTTTTAAAACCATTTTATCTAATGGATTAAAAATAAAAATAAAAACCTCTATGCAGTACAACATTTTTTCTTCTTCATTATTTTGGTAATACTTAATAATGGCATTTTTTTTTCTTGTGAACTTGATACAACATATTAATTTTTAAATATTATTAATTATTTTTTGACGACTTGATTTAATCTGTTGTACACATTTTGAAGATTCAATAATATTAGTTTGAAAATTCAACACTATTATGTCAAATTTATAACTTGCACTCGATGTAACTAGTTCTTTTTTGAATATAGCGTAAGAGTATCATTCCATATCGAATTCAGATGGAAAATATAATTAGTATAAATGGATTGAGTGTTAGCTTCACTTAATACTTAAGTTTTTTTATCTGATCGGGAAGCACCCAACCTGTTACAATTAATATCAAACAAACTCGATCTTAATTTCATGTCACTTTAAATGCTAAGCCGAAACGTGCCCGGAGCCACCTGAGCAGGCAGCCCCCAATATAATGGGTATAAATATTTAAGAGCTTTAATTTACAATATATAGATGTATTTTTATTTAGCGGACAGTGAACGATTATGTACTCATTAAAATCCCCAAACTAGAATGAGATGCTTTCTCAACCAAGGTCCTATGACTTTAATGATACAGTCATAATCCTAAAATACAGTAAGTAGTAACACCAGCCAACAAAAGCAGCACTGGGGCGAAGAGTGGAACATGTACCTTCAATTAGGAATGGCATAGGTACAGGCATTGGGTGGGTTTGGGTACATCTTATTTCGTTTTGTTAGAAAATTTATTATATCAACCCTGCCTTTATTTCAAAACGGTTTATAATTGTTATACTATTTTCACTCTTATTTCGGTAGACAAAATACCAATTTCGCCTCTTATATTCTATTTAATTGCAAATTGCTGTGGGAATGGAACGGGTTATGCCACTTTTATTATATTGTAAAAAAAAAAAAAAATAGCCTAATACGCTCGAATTGAGCTAATAAATAAGTTGTCCAACTTTTAAATTACTAAGTATTGAATAATAATATATTAACAGACATTTTCAATAAAGTAGCAAGAGTCTTAAAAATATAAAATATATATTTTATATATAAAAACAATTTAAAAGATACATATATAATCGTGACGGAATCATCACTAAATCCGTCCCCGCCCCAAACTCGTTTCGGATTTTCAATTATTTTATCATACATGTCCCAAACCCATTTAAGGATCACTACATTCACCCTATTTGGGACGAAGCGGGACAAAAACCGGTCGGATTGGAGAAAATTACCATCCCTACCTTCATTGACTTTTTGTAAACACAAGAAGGTCTCCTCCAAGTATGCAAATGTAAACAAATTTGAAACCAAATAAATAAATAAAATTTAAAAGCTTATAAAAGAAAAAGAAAAAAATATATATATAATTAAAAAACTTTTTATTTAGTTTTATTAGTGATGTGAAACCTCTTAAAACATCCATAATTCATTTTATTAGTGATGTCAAATCTCTTAAAACATTCCTAATTTATTATGGAACGCATCTAAATTTCATAACTCGCTACCAAACACACATAAGTCGGTCCCACATGCTCCTTTCCTAGTAAGCAGTGAGCACCCATCTCATCTCCCATGCTACGCACCATGTGGGTGGCCATTGTGACAAAGGGCGCCAGTGTGAATGTTCTGCATATAATCGAGAAAGCATTAATAATGACAAAAAAAGAATCGGTAATAAAAGTTTTTAATTGCAACAATAAATGACCAAAAATGGTACCTTACAATGTTAAAAAAAATGAAACATGCATCTACTCACTTCGTCACTCAAACATACTAAATGCTGTTTTATAAATTTGAAAATTTTAAGTTTTAAGTGCTGTAAAAATAATAATATTTTTTTGGATATTCTTTTTTAATGTTAAAGTTTAACCAAAAATTGAATTTGCTAGTCACTTACAATCTTCCTCTATTTTAGGTGTTGTAAGTACACTTCTTTAATGTAATTTTTTTTTATTCAACATGTATTTCAATTTTTATTATCAAGGTAACAGTAAAATTTGAACTCTGTAATCTTGCGTGTACTCATTTTAAATACATATTCGTGTTGTGTTTATTAAATGTATTTAATTAAATAAAATTTTAATTCGATTAAAATGAAGTTTTTGATTGGATAATTAAACCGTACTTAAAAATTGGTACACGAGGGCACTAAAATTGACGACTGCACCAACTAGCATGTAAAGGACAATATGGAAACAAAAAGTAAAGATTACGGGAGTAGCATTTTTTACATGGCTTGGCAAATTTTTTTATTTTTATTTTTTTTTGGGGCACTGCAATTTTTTATTTCACTTATGTGAGTAAATTTCTTTAGTTTGTATATGTACTCTTTTACACATATGTACTTATTTACTCCATAAATTATACATACACACACAGTCACGCATCATACATAAGCTACCCAATTCATGTCTAAACAAGTTTCTATGTCTCTGACAAGTTTATTGTATGATACGAGTGAAGTTTAAGTCACTGAACTTTTGCACAACAAAATTAATTAAATTTTAATGGGTGGTGATATCAAGGAAAAGAGAAGAAAATATATATATATATATATATATATATATATATATATATATATCATAAATGAAAAAATAAAAATAAAATAAAATAAAATAACTTGTCAAAAAGTTGGATGGTAAGATGAATTTTATTCAGATGAATCATATTTCTTTCGATGTTCAAATGAAAACAATTTGTCTAGCCCACCGTATAGACGGTTGCCTAGAGCCTCCAATTTGGAACGGCCTTAAATTTAGGACATGGACCAAAAAAAAAAAAAAAAAAATTCTCGTAGATTGAAAAGTCAATCATAAAAATTATCATTAATTCGTCTTTCTTATTTTAATAGAAGCAACTTAATTATTTCATACATCTTTCTTTTACTTCCACCAAATTAGCTAAACTTCTTCTTTTTTTATTTTTTTATTTTTCCTCAATTGTCATTGGATTCTTTATCGGTAATTTTTAATTAAAGTAATATTATAGGATTGAGTTTTAGTTAACATAAAATTATTGAATTTTAATTTAGTTATTATTATTATTATTATTATTATTATTATTATTATTGGTTCATTAGTGAGAAATTTACATACCCACTTTGCTCTTTTTAGAGAACCCTCACCGTCCACTTTGAATTTTAATTTAGTTAATGCCTAAAAGAGAGATGAAAATGATTTCTTAATCCATTCATAATATGGTTAACTATAATATATATATATATATATATATATATATATATAATATAATATATGTTTGTAAACAAAGAAATGGAAAGAATTGTAAAAAAAACAATAAGGAAATGAAAGAAACGAACTATTCACGTGCGGGTTTATTAATTATTTTTTTTACCTCTTTAATATGGATCTAGAGGGAGGGAATAAACAGAATGAAAAAAAATGAAAGAATGAAGGTTATATGTGTGTGTATATATATATATATGGAGCAGTGCTAGACTTTAGGGAAGAAAAAATAAAAAAATATTCAAGATTGTATCAAAAATGGTAATTACGTTCATCAAAGTCACTATTTCTTTATTTTTAGGCTAGTTACTCTCTCAATATTTTATTTCCAAAAGTATAAAGATCCATATCCTTCTTCTACCATAATCATCGCATGTCAACATTAAAGCTTACCAAAGCAGTCATCATCTACAATGCATCAAACAATTATCCACGACTAATTTCATTTATAGATGCTTTAAATTTTTTTAGTAATCATTTATAATCTCAAGCTTTTACTATGCAGAAGAGATACAACACATAATTTTAAATTTTGGAGAGTTATTGTTTCATACCAACACATTTAGAATTATTTTTAAATTTTTCGTTAATTATACATAGCTTCAATATATGAATATATACACACACTATATTCAAATAAAAATCTAGAACTAAGTTGTGCGATTGTCGGAAACTTCCAAAAGGGAATCTAACAATGATTCAAGAAAAAGAACATTAGCTCCCAAAAGGAAATTTGACCAAAAAGAAATTTGAGTGATAGTTTCTCCCTTCTCTGAAAGGAAATCTAATTATGTCACGTCAATTTCAAAGGTAATTTGGTATAGGTAGGAAGAAACAAATTTTCTTTGTTCAGCAGAGATAATATAAGGAAAGAAAGGATAATGTGAATGATGCTTCCTTCATAAAAATAACTTAAAATTTTATCTTTCCTTTTATCCTACCGATCAAATTAAATTGTAAACTTTTTTTATTAACTTTTCATCTAACTAAACAAAATTTTTTTCCTTCTTACTAAATGAAATATTAAAGTCCCAACGAACAAAAATAAGAAAGATGGATTAAGTATTAATTTTATGAATCAATAAGTGGAGGTACAGTTCCTTGTGCGACTCCATAGCACTTCCTAGTTCCTATAAAATAAAAAAATAAAGAAAATACGAATAAAGGCTCGCTTTTGAAAGTTCCTCAAAATTTTGGGCAGCCTCGAGTGTGTGTGTTGTGTGAGAGAGAGAGAGCATTGTGCCACAATGATGACTTGGAAAACACATGGAGGAAAGACTACAAATGCTTATCTTCAAATGTCAGTCTCGACTCATTCCCAAGTTATTAACAACCCAAACACACCGTGGCATTCAATTCGGTATATTCTGTTTTATCACAAACAAACTCCAATTACTAAAACACCCATACTATACTGGGACACACTAAACACCTGAAACCCCCGCTCCGAGCCACCAACCTTGGGCAATTCGGTCATTGAAAAGAACACTTCCGAACTCCCACGTTCCATTGAAAGGCGGCCAGATAGTTAAATACCAAAGATACCCTAGGAAAACGGTCAAAAAGATGGAAAAATCAAGGGCTGTAAGGTAATATCACAAGAAAGAGCCGCTGTCACAAACCAGTAAATTAAAATAAAGAACGTGAGTGATCCCCGCAAAGCACCAAAGGTGGCTCTGAAAAAGCGAAGTGAGAGAGAGTTTAGAGAGAGAAAGTAAGAGAGAGAAGTTCGTTTCGAGACGTTATCGGATTTCACCGACCCAATTCGCCGGAATTTGGGAATTCTTGTTCACGTCCGGCTAGGGTTTCTCCATGTTCTTCGTTTTTTGCTCTAAAAATTAGATTTATGTTTTTCTTGATGCGAGTATGAAACAGTGCCCTAATTGTTGATTGCTCTTAGATTTCGTGTTCTTATGACAGTGACTCTGCGATCTGTAAAATTGGGCTTTGTCAAGGGTTTGATTAGGAAATTCTTGTGATGTTTACTCCACAAAAGAAGGGGTGGTCTGGTTGGTCCCTCTCACCCAAGAGTGCACTGGCCCAGAAGAACGGTTCAGGGTCTGATTCAAACCCTAATTCAAATATCAGGAACGCTGAAACAGTTGCGAAGGGTAAAAGTGTGACTTTTATTGAGTCTACGCCACAGCCGCGGCAGATGGGTTCATTAGGCGAGAAAGGTGGAAATATGGTGGTGAGGTTGGACGATGCGGCGGTGGACCAGGAATCAGTGCTTGAGAAGGTTTCGAACCTTGAAAATGAGGTTAGTGCAATCCGGTTTATTACAGTATACTTTTTCTGTACGCCAGTTATCTTAATTTCGTTTGCCTCATCTTTCATATTTTTGGCTTTTTTACTCAAAACATTCAATGTGAAAATTTTCAACCTGCTATGTGCACAAACTGGTCTCAACGGGTTTACTTTGTTGAGAAATTTGGAAACATGGCTTAATAGGGAAGAGAAGGCAGTGGGTACTGTAAGAGCATGGGAAAAGTAGACTTGTGATTGTGGGTGTAGGTTTCTTTCAATTCAAGAGTGTAATTTTCAAATCTGAAACGAGTGAGAACTGAGGAATGTGAGAAACAACTTCACAACTATGTAATGTGAGGAAGTAAACATTTTAACGGTGGAAGCATTACTGGACTGACAAAAGATTTTGCGGGATGGAAGTTTAAATTGAGCACTGCTTCACGGTGAAGCACTCCAGATTTGATATGAGTGGCTGCATTGAATGAATGGAAATGTCAGCTGAATTTTTAGATGCATGATTTATGTTCCATCAAAGCTGTTTACTACAATTGTTGGGCTGTTTCCTACATTTAAGCTTGACGATAAAGTCCTTCTGGTCATTCATGCTCTTTGGAAAGTTTAGGGTTTCATTGTTTTTCGATAAAGTCCTTATGTTCCATTGATTTACTTTTCTAAATAGTTTAGGGTCAGTTTTAGAACGCTTTAATTTCCTTAATAGTTTAGGGTTTGCTTATGCCTATAAATACATGCTATTGTAATAGTTTAGTGATCAATTATCTCTTTAATTAATATCAGAAAATTGAGAGCTTATATCAACCTTTTCTTGAGTGCTTAAAGATTACATGTAAGTAAATAGTTTTCCCCTTTCCTTTTTTGTGCTTTAGGATACTCTCTTTCTTTATTCCTCTTTTTTTTTTTTTTTTTTTTTTTTCGTTCTTCTTCTTTTGGTGGGGAGGACTTTGGATGCGGAGTTGTGGTTGTCATGAAGTTTTGGTTTGTATAATTAAATATATGTGTGATTCTTTATCTGACATAATGATTTTGGAAGCAGCTTTTTGAGTACCAGTACAGTATGGGCCTTCTTCTGATTGAGAAGAAGGAGTGGACTTCTAAATATGAAGAACTTGGACAAGCATTAGCAGAAGCAACGGATGCCCTCAAACGAGAACAAGCGGCACATTTAATCTCAATATCAGAGGTAGAGAAGCGAGAAGAGAATTTGAGGAAGGCATTGGGTGTTGAGAAGCAATGTGTGCTTGATGTATGAATCCTACTTCTTTCTTTCGCATTCAATTTGATAAACACTGTGGATAACTTGAGCTATTTCTTATATCAATAACGGATGCTATTTATTGGAGTGCATTGCATGGTTCAAAGGATCTATTGGTTACTTATTTATCTTAAATTATAGTGGAAGGAGTAATTTATAAAGGAAAATTTAGAGGGTGCAAAAGGAGATTATGCTCAGCTATTCTATATTCATACGAAAATTTTATATTTGAATTGGAGTTGCTCTAGTGTTTGCTTTTAGGATCTTATATTTCAGCACATGGTACATTGGCCATTGCGTGTGTTGGTGAAGCAATAACAATTTATCACTTAATCTATGTTACGTCGACTCGTGTAGGTGCAGGTATGTTTAAGCGTTGGAGTTGTGAATTCCTTAAATCCATGAAGTCAAGAATGAATATTTCAGTTTTTTGTTGTTGCAAGAAGAACATAATAAAAGAGTTTTATATATAATTGTATATTAAGTTTGAATAAATGGATATGCCTGTTAGGTGCGGATCTCATACCTATGTCCGAGTGTTGTCAGTACTTTCACATATTGTTTTCAGTGTCCTAAAGTAGCACTTCACAATGAGTAAATAACATTCTAAGGTTAATTATCACCATAAGTTCTAAAATTAAAATTTGAACTTAAGAATCATGATTATTAATGCTCACTTTTATCGCATATATAATAGATTAAGATACAAGTGCATGGTTTGTTTGTTTGTGTGCGCACGCGCACGCATGCATATTTGGTTTTGTGTATTTATGCACATAGTTGTAGCGGTTCCTTCCCCACTCTCGGGCTCACTTTTTATAAAACCACCTTTTTTGTTAGTTTTTTATTTTTATTTTTTATTTTCTAAAATATGACGGGTACTTGTAAATTTAGAGAAAAAGGAGGAGGGGGGGGGGGGAACCTTTATTTTCGTCTTTTTCTTAGCGTTATATTTTTTCCATGCTTAAAGAGAGTCATATCCCACTCCAAGGTTCATAGGACACATGGTGGTGAGTGTACAGGAAGAGTTACCCATTTTATTTTAAATCAGGCCATTTTCAAGATGCGTTGAATATGTGTCAGGGAGACTTGGAGAAATGTCAGTACTCGACAAGCGTGTATATGGACATATTTTCCCCATAGAAGCGTTTGTTTCTTAGGGGTCATAAAATAGTTTATCCTTAGAAGTGTTTATGTTTCTTAGGAGGCCATAAAACATCAATAACTTATTTATTTAGGATATATTTTATCATTAATAATTATACCCTGAAGTTAGAATAACAGTTTATCTGTTTCCTTATTTATCTGCTTTGTAAGAAAATCCTTTACATAAAGATATGCCTCCTTACATTAACATGTAGTCCTACCTATCCTAATGGTCGATATCAGACTATAACAAAAGTTATAATGGGTCATACAGCTGCTATTTTTGACTTACGGATGTTGATCATAATAGTGGTGAAGGCGAACCACATGGCTGCACGACAATAACCCGTAATAGTATCAGTTGATTTTATTACTTTGCTTTTGTGGTAAACGATTTTGATTGCTATTTGCTCTCCATGTTTTTGATCTATGCACATGTTTTGATCGTGTCATTTTTATGATTGTAACTGCTTTTGTCTTGTTTTCATCATCACCATCAATCTATAGGTGAGGTGGAAGCTAAATTGCATCTTTGTGTTGTAATGCCTTCTCATCATGTTGTACTACAGCATAAAATGGACTCTTAATAATTTTATTTAAGAATTACTCGATGAATTATTGCGGAATCTAATTCTCCCAGACAATTTAGTAGTATATATCGAGATAGCATTAGCTTTTCCTACAATTAGATAATATTGGTTTGCAGGTTGATGAGACTATTAAATTATGTCCCAGTATATACATTTGCATGTGTGCTGGTTTGGCAACAAAGGCACATACTTTCAAGCAAGAAAACTATCTGCAGGACCTTAGTATAATATAAACTATCTGCTACAATTCTAATAAAATTTGAAGGAAGGCTAAATGCATAATTGGTGGCTATATGCTTTCCGCCTCTCCCCCACCCCCTTCTATACCCTTAAAATTTTGATCGTCTGATATTTGGTTCTATGATACTGCTTGGTCCTTTCTTGATCTTACTTATAGTATATATTGACCTACTAGTAGTGATGTCCAATATGAATTACTGATTGCCTAACAAAGGTAGGTAATGTGTGGGCACGTATTAGATTAATATTTTTTGGTAAATGTGTGCCTGATTGTCTTATATGTTATGTGAAATATAACCGTAGTAAATAATAAAAAAATAATAATAATGGCCTCTCTCTCTCTCTCACTTGGGCCTTCTTATCATCTTATGTGCCCACACGGAATATATAATCATGTGATTCCTTAGTTGTTCATGAGAATGGATGCTTGTTGAGTTGAAGTTACTAATGTCAAGTAATTTGCTTGCTAGATTTTAAATTACATGCTGTTTAGTCTTTGAAGGGCTAAATATTTTAATTAACTACAGCGTCTCTTGAAAAGTTGAGGAATCTTCTTATGGGTCAATATGTAATAATATTATTTCTTTGTGGGTTAGTACATAATTATTTCTGTGAATGTTGTGCTTGCTGCAGTTAGAAAAAGCTTTGAGAGAGATGCGTTCAGAATATGCAGAAATTAAGTTTACATCTGATTCAAAGTTGGCTGAAGCAAATGCTCTGGTCACTAGCATTGAAGAGAAATCTTTGGAGGTGGAAGCGAAGTTGCATGCTGCTGATGCCAAACTTGCTGAAGTGAGCAGAAAGAGTTCAGAGATTGATAGAAAATCACATGAGGTGGAGGCTCGGGAAAATGCACTTCGAAGGGAACGGTTATCCTTCAATGCAGAGTATGCATGCTCATAGCTCTTGACTCGTTTTCATTTATGTGAATGTTGCCTTCACAATCTGTTTGCATTCATTATACTCGGAGTATTCATTGGTGTTGTGGTTAATTATCAGTTTTTTTCCTAGTGTTATATCAGTTCGATTCCAACTCAAAAAGTTTTTCATTTTTCTCAGTCGAGACGCACATGAGAGTGCCATATCTAAACACAGAGAAGATTTGAGAGAATGGGAAAGAAAATTGCAAGACGGAGAAGAAAGGCTGGCTGAGGGTCGAAGATTGCTTAATCAAAGAGAGGAGAGGGCAAATGAAAATGACAGGATCCTTAAGTTGAGACAGAATGAGCTTGAAGAGGCACAAAAGAAGATTGACACGGCTAATTCAATTTTGAGAAAGCAAGAAGATGATATAAGCAGCAGGCTAGCAGACCTAGCTGTTAAAGAGAAGGCAAGTGTTTCTCCTGATGAAGATGCTGTTAAATAAAATATGTACTTCTTTATTCTTTATGGTTATTTATTTGTTTTTATTATTTTTTTAATTTTTTACTGCAGGAAATTAATTCCTTGAGAAATAGCCAAGAGATGAAAGAGGAGGAATTACACGCTTTACAGGAAAAGCTTACTGCGAGGGAAAAAGTGAGTCCTTGCCCTTCATCTGTTTCTGTAATAGATTCCACCTTTCAATGGCATAAATAAATGGTGCCAGTAAACATGGTGATTGGTTAATTGATCGCATACATGCACAGGTGCAGTTGTATTACCATTTATATGCTTGTGACTGAGGCAGGTATGCATAAATGTGTCTATTGTGACTCCCAAGTACCTGGTTAGGGTCTTTAAAGCCATTATGTTTTTTAGCTGGTGTGGTTTGGCAATTAACAAAACCAACAGTATTACTTCGTGAAAATGGTCTATTTGTCAATTAAAGTATGTCAGGTCTGAAAAGTTGCTTATTTCTGGATTAATTTGGCAGCAATATAAATTTTTTATCTGCTCCCTTCCCCAACCTTTCTTTATTTTTTTTTTCGTAGTTGATACTCACACACCCATGCCTCCATTAAGACTTGAACCCCTGACGTCCCTTTGGGAAGTAGGGACTTGATACCGCTAGGCCACTGGCGTGTTGGTATCCCCAACCTTTCTATTTACTCTGTTCTTTCTTGTATTTGTAGTTCATCCATTCATCTGTGTTCTGTTTCATCACTTGAATATTATCCACTGGTTCTTTTGTTTTTTAATAAATGCAGTGAGCAAGGACATGTAGTGATTGCAAAAATCTGTGTATCATTCAAAACCATAACCATGCTTCTGATGCTTATTTTGCCATGCTTCTGACGCTTATTTTGCCATGAAACTCATACAGGTTGAGATTCAGAAACTTCTTGATGAACATCAGACCATCCTGGATGCAAAGAAACATGACTTTGATATGGAAATGGATCAAAAGAGAAAAGCCTTAGATGAGGAGTTGAAAAGCAAGGTAGTTGAAGTGGAGAAGAAGGAAGTTGAAATTAACCACATCGAGGAGAAAGTTGCAAAACGAGAACAGGCGTTTGAAAAAAAACTGGAGAAATTTAAAGAGAAAGAGAAGGACTTTGAGTCGAAGTCCAAAGCTCTGAAGGAAAGGGAGAAGTCCGTCAGGGTTGATGAGAAAAAGTTGGAGAATGAAAGGAAACAATTGCTTGCTGATAAGGAGAATTTGCTTATTGTCAAGGTTGAACTTGAGAAAAAAAGGGCTGACATTGAAGAACAACAGTTGAAGATAAGTGAAGAGAGGGAACGACTTATAGTAACCGAAGAAGAGAGGTTGGAACATGTCCGTTTGCAGTCGGAATTGAAGCAGGAAATAGACAAATGCAGACTCCAGAGGGAGATGCTTTTGAAAGAAGGTGAAGATTTGAGACAAGAAAGAGAGAAATTTGAGAAAGAGTGGGAAGAACTGGATGAGAAAAGATCTGAGATTAAGAAAAAGTTAGGTAACATTACTGAACAGAAGGAAAAGTTAGAAAAACTGAAACGTTCTGAAGAGGAAAGGTTAACCAACGAGAAGCTGGAAACGCAGAAATATATTCAGAGGGAGTTGGAAGCTCTCAAACTGGCTAAAGATTCTTTTGCAGCTAGCTCGGAACATGAGAAGTTGGTTATTGCTGAAAAAACTCAAAGTGAGAAAAGTCAAATGCTTCATGATTTTGAGCTGAGGCACAGGGAACTTGAGACGGAAATGCAGAACAGGCAGGAGGCCATGGAGAATCTTCTGCGTGAAAGGGAGAAGTCATTTGAGGAAAAGAGTGAGAGGGAACTAAACATTATTAATAACTCGAGGGATGTGGTCCAAAGAGAAATGGAAGAAATGAAACTAGAAAGACTAAAGATAGAAAAGGAGAAACAGGAAATTGATGCAAACCAGAAGTATCTTGAAGGGCAGCAGCTTGACATGCATAAAGACATTGATGAGCTTGTTGACCTTAGCAAAAAGTTGAAGGATCAGCGTGAACAACTTATCAAGGAAAGAGAACGCTTTATTGCATTTATTGAGAAGCTCAAAAGTTGTGAGACATGCGGAGGGATAACTTGTGAGTTTGTTGCTTCTGATCTTCAATCCTCACTTGAAATGGACTACACAAAGGCCCTATCTCTGCCAGCACTAGCTGACAATTACTTGAATGAGGCTGTCCCGGGTAACCTTGATGCTTCTAAGAGGCAAAATGGTGATGTCTCTCCCGTCGCTGTTAATTCAGGGTCTCCTAGGGGATCCATGTCTTGGCTCCAGAAATGCACTTCAAAATTTTTTAATTTGTCGCCAGTTAAGAAGGTTGAACTTGCTGCTTCTCACAATCTGGCAGGGGAGGCACCACCGTCCAAAAACCACGTCGCAGTAGAAGTACCATCAAAAAGATTGAGCACTGAAGATGAACCAGAAGTATCCTTCGGTATTGCAACTGATTCTCGTGACATCCATGGGATTCAATCCAACAGCCACATTAGAGAGGTGGGAGCTGGCCAAGATGTATCTGTTGATGATCAGATCAACATAAAGAGTAATGCACAAGAAATTCACGAAGATTCCCAGCATTCTGATCTGAAGGGTGATCGGCGCAAACCTGGGAAGAGAAGCAGACCCAGAGTAAATAGAACACGCTCTGTGAAGGCAGTTGTTGAAGATGCTAAAGCTATAGTTGGGGATGCATTTGAACAGAATGGGAGTGAGCATGTTAATGGTACTGCTGAAAATTCTGCCCATATGAACGAGGAAATCCGGGAAGAATCCAGTCTTGTGGTCAAGGAAAAAGCAATAAATAGTCGAAAACGAATCCGCGCTACTTCTCAAACTACAGTGAGTATGCAGGATGGTCATTACAGTGAAGGACATTCTGATAGTATCAAGGCAACTGGGCAGAGGAAGAGGAGACAAAAAGTTGCTCCACCTGTACAAACTCCTGAAAACCGATACAATCTCCGGCGATCCAAAGGGTAAGTTTTCAGAATCTATATTATGTGATGTACTACAACGTCAATGCTGAGTTTGCAGGGCCTGGTCTTTCAGAGCACCAATTCCTTACTAGCAAATTTGGTGCATGGACTCGTTGATTGTATTTGTGATTTTTAAATTGAAGAGCATTTTTGCAGCTCCCTGATAGAGTTCAACTAGAAACTAGATTATTGAATTAAAGGGCACTTTTGAATTCATGTAATTGAACTATGGAAGATACTTTTTTGCTTCGTATTGTTTACATGTTGCTAATTGTGCAGGAAGATTTCCAATCCATTTGTAGTGGTTATTTATTTCTAGACTTGTAGTTTCTGTGTGACGTTTTTGGAAATTTCGAATGCTTATTAAACCTTGTGCCTATCAGTGCGGCTACGGTGGCGGCGGCTAATGGAACCTTGTCTCAATCAAGCAAAGGAAAGGGGAAAGTAGATGATGGTGGTGTTGTGAGGGTAGAAATTAGCGACTCTAAAGCTGCACCTGCTGCATCATCAGTGGGGGTGGCTAGCGGAGATGGGGGAAGTACACACTCAGTGCAGATGAGGACATTTAAAAGCACTGTGGACGTCTGTGAATTCAGGGTACTCTCTCTCTCAAGCACAACATATGTCACTGTCTCAGTGAAATTCTTATTGTTTAGATATTTTGATTCAAAAATAAAAATGCAACTGAAAAAAAAGGGTAAAAAAATAAGAATTGGGTTGCGCTTCGAATTGTTGATTAATCGCCAGAGATGGCTTGGAACCAATAGTTCATTATCTAATGTATCTTTTGGTTCTAATACTCTATCAAATAGTTATCAGTATCTATCAATTATCAAATCTGTTCCTATAAAATGGAACGCTATTGGATTAAATGACAAAAGATATTGTTGAGAACCACATGTACTAGTTTGTTGAATACAAACACATTCATACGATAGATTTGTTTTTTCAATCTAAAATAGTCAAGTTCACCATTGATGTGACAAAATTCTGTGTGCTTTATCTACTTAAAAGATTACCTACTATCCATTGATGTTTGGAACTGCAAATGTCAAACTTTGCATTGATAATTAGTTGCATTTTAGTTCTCCAAAGTTTCTTTATTGTGTACTTATATGATATATATCTGCGTCAGTTTGAAAATGTGGCTGAGCCAGAGAACGGAAATGTTGATATTACAAGCAAGTTAGTTGATGACACCATTTTGAGTGAAGAGGTGAATGGGACATTGGAAGGGGCTAGGGAGTATGTCAATGATGAGTGCCGAAGTGAAACCCCTGGGAAAGATGTGGTTAGGGATGATGAGGACGACAATGACGACGGGGAGTTCGAGCATCCTGGTGAAGTCTCAATAGGAAAGAAGCTTTGGACCTTTCTTACCACTTGATCATGTTAAACCGTACTCGTGTCTTGGCTTCGCTTTAATGGTCTGGACTCTGATTTTTCAAGTATGCTATTAGAGGTACTTTTTTTGTTTTTTTGGCTATTAGGAATTCTCTGATGTGTAGTAGTGTGTATTAATTTGAAATGTAATTATAACCACTGAAATCCAATTATGGTGGGGAACTTGAATTTGTGTCTTCTTTAGTTTCCTTCTTTTTTTCTTCCTTTCTAGTAGGAAATTGGGGTGGTTTTACCACAATTCCAGATGATTCATTGTAGTTGTTTGGACAGTGTCTTTATTAAACTGAGACTCAGTTTCCTCTATTATTTGTGTATTGTGTCAACTATTTCAATTTATGCTTCATTCCTGAACCGTACATTAATAGGGTCAAAATGCAGAGTGAATTATTGTCGGCTTTTTATGGGTGTATATATGTATATTTTTCATTTAATAGAATAATATGCAAGTTAATGTGCTCCATCATTATTTTTTGGAGAAAATTTCAAACATTGTGTCTGTTATCTCCCTTAGAATAGATTTGACTTGGATCAAAAATATTGAGGACTTCATGTTCACACTGCCCTTGTGGAAACTTAAACTTCTACTTCAAAAGGAGAAACTACCAGAGGCATACAAATTTATTTGGCTATTACTGTATACTTCTTAATGACTCTTGATAGTAGGGATTGAAAGATTCCATGACCTTTCTGTCATTTTATATTTCTTTACTACTACTATCTAAAGGTGTAAGCTTCCTTAACCTAGTTTAACCACCGCCAAATTTGTCCCACTAAACATCTGCATGATGGGAAAAAAAAAAAGCAAAGAAAAAAAGAGCACCCATACGCAAATATACCCATGTCCCTGCTGCAACATGAAGAGGAGGCGTCTTTGACTTTCCAAAAGGGAGAAAGAAAAAACATGATATGCGACTCCCCCGTGTCTTTACAGAATCCCATGCACACAATGTGAGTTGAAATAGTGATGGAAAATGAACCAAATAATTAAAAAAACAAAAGCTAAGAGAAAATATTAGTGTGATTACAATCCAGACCTGTAAGATCGTCCAATGTTTTCAAATTCATACATCAATATCCACATATTGCAATCATCTTTCCCCACTCTATGCTTTCATATAAACCAAGTACTGTAAAAATAAATGCAATCTGAAAGACCAACTGGTAAAGAAACCTCATTGACCGAACCCATTGTGTGTAAAAATGGTAGGTGGAGGAGGATTCTCGAGATTATTAGCAGAAATTTAGTCAAACAATTCTAATCAAGATGATTGCTTGGTCATATATCTGAAACTAGTATCTTGTTTCAAATAAGATCCCAGAATCAAAACGAAATGCTGCATTGGTCCATCACGTGCATGTTCTCCCTCTTCATCCTCTGCGTTTTCACCTTAACCACCATCTCTGAATGGCTGAAATTGGAGTGTTCAAGAATGGGACATAACGGTGGAGCAGTGGATTAATTGTCCTCCCAATCTTAGCCCACACGCTTCGATGGTAACCAGCAGTCGCTGGGCCATGAAACATGAGCTTTAATAGCTGCCAGAAAATTTTCCAAAAAGAAAACAATGTCAGAATAGGTGGTGGTGTTGCAAAATTGAACACATGACAAATTTATGATGCAACTTCAGAAAAGAAACCTACTAGAGACCTTCCACTTAAGGCAAAGAAAACTCGATATAAGCAAATGAATTGCTCATGCATATTTCTTAAATTCAAATCCAATTAGACAATAAAGTGCCAATGCACTCCAAGAGTCCAAGCCTGAACCTTAAACCCATGTAATAAAGAAATTTTCTACCGTTAGAGAGATTCATAGTAAAACTTAAAATGATCGCTTCTGGTATATATGGCAGCATGGATGTTTGGAGGCGTCAACTCCAACACAAACCAGATTACATAGAACATTTGTATAAAATTATTAGGTTTAACACATTTCCAATTCCAAACAATCCCGAGCAGGGTAAGTAGCTACTTAGCCCTGAAACCCTCAAGTCCCTGGCGAAAAAAAACAAAGAGGGGAAAAGTGAAACATCGAACTTTTTCTTTTTCTACCGATTATGAAACTGGTCAGTTCAGCAAACAACTACTATACCCATATCTGTAGAGGGAGGGAGGAAGGGGGGGTTAGAGGGGGAACTATAGGATGATCAGGATGATATTATCAAACCTGCCAGTACATGAAAGTCTGTATTATGTTCCGCTGCCACCTGCATATACAAATTTGCTTTCAGAAAGTATATTTTTAAATATAATAGAAAAGTAATCAGCAATAACAGGAAAAAGAGGGGACATAAGCCAAGTACTCACGTGAACAGGGAAATAATAAGAAGAAGTCCAAGTCCTATCTCAGCTTGTGAAGATAGGATACTGAGCGTGGTTGTGTTAGACTCTACCCAAACACATGGTTCTTCCAAGTACTTCCTGTGAACAACCCCAGAAAAGTCATGAACATGGGAGGTTAAGAAAACAGAAAGTAAGTACAGCATTTGGCCAGTCTAAAACATAAAACAAAAGACAATTTCACCGCCAATATCCATTACAGTGATTGTCATATTGGTTATGCATGCAGCATTATCCACATGATCAGGCACGGACCTAAAGAGGAGGGAGGGGGGGTAACAATTGTCTCCCCTTTTTTTTTTTTAGCATTAACTACTAGTAAATTTTTCAATTTTCAATTATATACCTGTGAAACAGAAGCAAATCAGTCACGTACTAAAACATTTTGATGAACTAGGTTATGAATGAAAATGCATATTTATGAATTATAACATGAGCTGATTCCAGACACTGGGTTTATGACTAAGTAAACATAACAGAGCACCCATCAATGCATAAAAGAAAATGCATATTTTTGAATTATAACATGAGCTGATTCCAGACACTGGGTTTATGACTAAGTAAACATAACAGAGCACCCATCAATGCATAAAAGAAAATGCAATCTCATACAGAGTAACAGAGGTATATTGATGGACTAGAATTAACATGGACAAAGTTGATAAGTCAAATCAGTAATAAGATTGACTACACAAGGAGAGTTCTAGATAAAGTATAGATGCTTATCTTGAGGCCTTTTGGTGGTCAGCTACTCTAAAAAAGACATAAAATTTAAGACCGTTGTTCTTCATTTAAAGCCTTATATGCTAATTGCTAAATCCTCAATTATAACACAACTTAAGAAGAACCACAACACAAGGGAGATATAATTAGGGATGCAACTTGGGAGGGTTGGAAGCTCAACTCAGTCTCAATCTGAGGTATGAAATCTTCAACCCTAACCCAAACCGACCATCAACCTGAGCTAATCAACTTGAGCCCAACCCATCCTTAATTTTTGAAGCTCGGGTTGAATTCGGGCTTGCAAGTTCGGTCTGAAATTTCAGGCTAAATTCAGGTTTCCAACTCGGGCTAATATTTATGGGTTAGAATTCGGGTTGTTGTAATAACAAATGAAACAACCTCAAAGTTTTCACAACTGAAAAAAATGAAGATATTGGCATAAAAAAATAAAAAAATGGATGAAAAACTAGTGAGTTCAATATGTCACTACATAATACGATCCATAGACAAAATCACCAAAAGCTAAAAAGTGCACTATTGTAAATGTTAAGAACAAAGCTAATAAGTACAAAGTTCACATACAATACATATTGATGGAGAAACAGATATGGTCCGAGAACTTGAAGTGCACATGTTTCGCCTTTATTATTGGAGACGTGAAAAAAGAAAAGAAAAGAAGAAGATAGAATTAGGGATTTTGTCCATTTATTATTATTTTAGTAATGTTTTTATTGTAGGATATATTGATAATTTAGTATTTTAGGATTCTATTTTTGGTAGTAGGAATTGATTAGGGTTTTCCTTGATGCCTACTTATATGCGGATTGATACATTGTGAAGACACCTTTTTTATGAATTATTGATTATTGAATAGACAAAGATTGATTTCCTCTCCCTATTTCTTCTTCTTCTCCCTTATTATTCTTCTTCTCTTCTCTTTATCCTGCTCGATCAATTTTGACATCGAAGCGCCCCTGCCCGTCTTGCATCACATATATATAATATATGATATAAATATCTGGTTCATAGTTCGGGCTTTGTAATTTGGGAAAGGCCTTAAATGAAACCAGGTTCTTACTTATCAACCCAAGCCTGGACCGAATTGCAAATTACACAGCCCGAGACCAAAAATTTTCGAGCTGCACTCAGGCTGGTCCATGTTGGGCCCACCCAAGTTGCATCCCTAGATACAATGCCTATTTGCAGTATCCAATTTGTCAAATCAAAACCCACTATGACGTCATACCAGGTAGAGTAATGTCACAAATGTATTAACTGTTAAAATTATAGTAGAAGGATAAATTAACAACAGCCTATAAATAATTCAATCAAATTAATTTCAGTAAAAGAGAATAAAAAATCTACTACGTGTACAAGGAGGAACGACTAAAATTACGCCTAAGGAACTTGGCAACATGTTCAAGAGTTCGGCATAAAATGGTGATTAAAGCAACTGCAACAAATTTCAAAACATCAGGAAACACAGTGTGAGAAGGAAATACAGGCCATTGATCAAGCACAATAACAGAAGAAATAATATAACAGAGGCCTTGTGATACTAACATTTGAGGCAAAAATGTGAAGTGACAAAAGTAAGGCAGTAAATGAGGTAAATAAAATCCTTGGTTGAAATGACAGAATGAAACCACACTTGCACAGCCTGCATATTCCATGCCCTAGGTTTCTGCAGACAATGAATGGTTACTAGAAGAAGAGGTCACAGCATTGTAACTGAAAAAGTGTGCTGTATCAAAAATCTGGATAACTGAAACTGCAGGGTTACCCCATATAGAGAGTACAAAGAGAACAGAGAAGAACATGCAGTGCCCATAAAGGAAAGCCGATATGCCCTATTTGAAAGATTTCTAGGTACAAGAGGAAAAATTGCAAGCAGAGCCACAACAAATACCTGCAGGGAAATGTAAATAAAATAGCGTTAACAACACGCAAACTAAGAAGCAAGAAACAACATAGCATCAGAATTAATAGAACTTGCAGGATATCTTAATGGTTGTTATTCCTGTAGCAAATAATGTTCCAAAGTGGAAGAAGTATGGCCTTTTCAACCCAAAAATAGAAAAAGCTAATTAGATATTATAATCAAATGGCTGGATTACGAACTTCGTTATCACTACTTAGAAGTGTGATGGTTTGCTTTGGATGTTTTATTGCAAACACCTTTAGACTCCCCCATTTTTTTTTTGTCCAGGAAAGCATACTTAATATGATGTAAATCAAGACTTTTCGGAGTCAAAATCAAGAGAAAAGTATCAAAAATAACTCAATGACACTGTAATTCTACCTTTTTGTAAGGCGCTTCGGTAAGGGAAAAAAAGAAGAAGAAGAAAATATACAACCTTATATAGGGAAATATTAGATTAAATAATAGAAAACCCAATACTTATTGGGTAAAAGTGCGAGAGATGTGGCATATCAAGTGGGGAAAAGGGGGCATAAAATTTTGTAGATCTACATCGTGTCATATTTAGATCATATACAACAAGCTAACATTAGTGACTTCATGTTTTGAAGGAACCATAGAAGTCTACTGCTAATGATCTCCAACAATCTAATTTTGTTGATCTACATAGTGTCATATTTAAATCATTTACAACAAGCTAACATTAGCGACTTCATGTTTTGTTAAAATTTTGAAGGAACCATAGAAGTCTACAGCCAACCTACTGATCTCCAAGAATCTAAGTTCCCTGTAGCATTCAAACAAGTGGCTCTACCATCCAATTGTGTAAATTAAATAATGGGAAGCTTTAATAACAGCTTTTAGGCCTTCTGCTATCAATTTTGTTTGCTTAAACGATTTAAGATAATTTTAACACACATGAGAAAAGCTCACTTGGAGGGGGGGAAAAAAATTGAACAGCAAAGTCAAAAGAAGGCATGGAAATCAAAGTGAGTCAGCAACAACTTAATGTCCTAAATGAAAAGCCACAGATCCCAACATGGTTACACATCAAGAGGTTAAAAATAACGAGAATAATAGCAACATTCATGTGGACTATAGAATATCCCAGCTGGGGGCCTTGGGGCTATGAAAATCTGCAACGAGGACAAACATCCATTCATAGAGTTACCCAAACTGAATCATGGAATGGATTGGCTGAGTTGAGAAAAATGACCATCACATATTTCAGTACAAGCTGCAAGTAAGCGGGGCTTTTTATGTACTTTGTACCAATACATAAATCTCAAATTTTAAAAAAGAAATAAATAAGTTGAATAAAGTAATTACAGAGAAATTAATTGTCCACTTAAGTAATGGGCCGGATATCAAAATGAAGGTGATGCGGTCAAGAGGAGAAACAATTCTAAATATGCTCCAGTGGTTAAAACCGTTAAGCAACAAATTTTGAATTATCATAGTAAATGACCAATCTTGCCTCTAGGATTTTGAACTCAAGTTACCCAAATTTCAGTGCAAGTGATGGGTGTTGCACCAATAATGTCTTGATAAAAGTGGTATTAAGACAGCAGCATTGCATATTAGATCAATATTATTTTATATAACTAAACAATAGAGCTCCTTGTCATTTTTCAAGCGAGTCAGTTTTCCAAATTTCAATTAGCCAGCTAGCAACTTTCCGAACTACACTCAGGCAGGGCAAATTTCATCCGAAAAAATGTTCACATATTAGTTCGTGTGCATGTGTGGATTCATTTATGTAAGTATGAGCTGTACCCAAGCATTGATGGAAAATTGTATTGTTTGTTGATCCCAGTGTAGAGATGTTGGATTTGGAGCTGGACTTGTCGACGTTCCTGAGGTTCTAGTAGTTGATCCTACAACAAAAAATTGACTTCAATTCAATAAGAAGTGTAAAACAACAGATCTCACTAGTGAAGAACAAATAGAGGTGGCTATATCTTTACTCCAAATGTAGATGTACCAATTTTCCCTAACCTTTTTTCACCATTAATAGTAAAATTTTCTACCTGAGTTACGTAATCGTGTTTGGTCATCTGTAGTTGATGATGATGGTGGTGCTGAAGATCTAGCTGGTGGAGAGGAACTGCTTGAAGACATCGGTTCGACAACAAGATCTGGATCCTGCTCATCAGAAAAATAGCCTTAGTACCAAAGAAAATCAAACATCAAAAACCTAGATACATTTTGTACAGTTCAAGTTCATGAGAACCAAAAAAATAAAAATGTAGAGACAATATATATGAACATATATGCAAAATGGTATATATATATCTATGAATGACTTATGACCCTAATGAATAAAACAGAAATAGATCAAATATATATACATAGAGAGAGATAAAATAAAAATTTGAACTGTCCAATAATGATGTTGTGAACTCAAAGTCAAGCCAGACTAAAACCCCAAAGATCCACCCCGCTTCCAAGAAAATAATGTAATCAAGTAAATCATGCGGAAAAAAATAAATAAATAAAAAAAGCAGAAAAGGTTTACAAAATAACCTAAATCATATATGAAAATTCAGAGGATAATTAGAACAAAAACACTGTCACATTAAAATATATACAAGATATAAATTCAAAAAAACCCAGAGAAGATCTCCAAGAATTTAATGCAAACCAAATATTAACCTAGATAATATTCATTTCAGTTCAGCACTTATTTTGGAGCACAGCAAGAAGACCGAGAAGCAATATCTTGGATGCCCAAAAATTAAACCAAAAAATCAAAACCAAGATTCACAGGGTACAAATCTAGTGATTAGAAACTCACACGACCAATAAAATAGATAGAATAAACAGACAAACACAGACACAGTAAATAATGCAAAAACTAAATATGCAAAATCCAAAGGACAATCATAGAAATTTATTTAGAAAATAGATGAAAAAGTTTCAACAGCCAGAAAATGATATCCCAAACTCAAAGCGAAAAGTAGATTTAGAACCCATTGTAATTCCATGAAAAAATAATAATAAAACTATAAAAAACGAAAAATCTAACACCCAATTCTACATGACCAAAGGTCAAAACTCCAAGGCAAAACACCATCCCTAGTAACATTCATAAAGCATATATCTGCTCCCAAGAAAATCAAACAATTAAGGACAACTTGGGAAAAAAATGTATGTGAATACTAAAGAATCCATTAACTAAATCACAAAATCCGAAAAATAATGAGATAAAACTCTACAAAAACAACAAACAAGCCTTTCCCCAACTACTTGGGGTCGCCTACATGAGTCTCATGTTTCCATTCCACTCTATCATATCCTCAGTCAAACCACGTGCTAACAAGCATATTTAGAGGTAGTCTTTGCAAGTGTCCAAAGCATCTTAAGCCATTCTCTCTCATTTTATCTCAATTTTTTGCTACTCCAACCATCTCTTGAATGTGATCATTTCTAATTCTATCATTCCTACTCTTACCGCATATCTATCTCAACATTTGCATTTCCACCACTCACTTTATGCAATATGTTGTTTCTTAGCCGCCCAGCATCCTGTGCCATAAAGTATGGCTGGTCTAGTAGTTGTTTGATAGAACTTCCCTTTCAATCTAAAGGAGGTACACTTATCGCACAATATACTAGATGCACTCCTCCATTTAACCCATACTGTCTTGATTCTACGATTAAGGTCTATCTCTAATTTTTTTTTTTTTTCAATCATTATAAATAATTGAGCTTAAATAACGAAAATGTTCATTTATTTATTTTTTTTTTTGTACCTCTTGATTCTCAAATCTTCACTACATCCTCATTTGTATTTCTAGTCTAGATTTACTAAAGTTACATTCCATATATTCAGTTTTATTTCTACTTATCTTAAACCCTTTTAATTCTAAAGCTTCTCCCCATACCTCCAATTTGGCATAAACTCCTCTAATCTCATCGACTAAAACAATATCATCAACAAAAATCATACACCATGGGATCTCATCTTGGATGTGTCTGGTCAGCTCAACCATAACCAAGGCAAAAAGATATGGAGTTAATGTTGACCCTTGTTGAAAGCCTACAATAATTGGGAATTCACTTGTTTCCCTTACAGACGTTCTAGTTACACAACCATCATACATGTATTTTATTGTGTTAATGTACCCTTTGTGACTCCTTTCTTTTTTAAAACCCTCCATATTAGATCTCTAGGTAGCCTATCATAGGCCTTCTCCAAATCAATAAAAATCATATGGAGATCTCTCTTCTTCTCTATATATCGTTCCATTAGTCTCCTCAATAAGTAAATAGCCTCCATCGTTGACCTCCTCACATGAATCCCAATTGATTCTCCTACACTTCAGTCTCTCGTCTTAGGCGTGTTGTTCAATCATTCTCTCCCAAAATAAATCTCCAAACTCAAGAAGGAACAAATATGAACCCATAGAATTCATTTTGGTCCATTGATAATTCAGGAAACTGTGGAATCAAGAAAGCATAAAATGTAAAACAAACTTCCAAAAAGTACGATTTAACAAAAAATAAGAAAGTGCCCAAAGGGAAGACATTGTAAATGCCATTGAGAAACTTGGGAGCCACTCAATTTCCGAAAAAAAAAAAAAAAAAACAACTTGGGTGCCACTCTCATTCCAAGAAAAAAAAAAGGGGCATAAATAGGAATATCTGTGTGTGCATGGACTCCATATAATCCGAGAACCAAATACACAAAATCCTTTGAAGTTTAAGGAGGTAATATACATAGAAAAATGAAAACCTTGTCGGAAAATGATACCCCCACCCCATGGAAAAGTACAGCGGAAGCAAAGTTCATTCTGGTTTGTTGTGAAAACAAGGAGACAATAGATAGAAAAACATAAAATTTTAACAACAAAATCCACAAAGACCCAATGTTAGATTTCAGATTCCCAAAAGTTAAAATAAAAAATAAAAAATAAAAAAATTTCAGATTCCCCAAAGTTAAACAAAACACCAAAATGTAACCAATAATGTGAAATTTTAATTTCAAGAAATTACAAAAAAAGAAAAAGAAAAAGAAAAAGGAAAAATATATAAAGAAAAAGAATGTACGGAGTAACAAAAATCTGAATAAACCAAAAACCAAATCTACAAAATCCAGAGGATAATCAGATGAAAAGTTATCAAAAGTACAAATAAATCCCACAAAGGCCCAAAATGATAGATCTTAACACAGGTAGAACAGATTAAAGCCCTAGGAGTTTCATTCCAATGTTCTTCTATTTGCAAATATATTTACACGTGTGTATATATACATACACACAGAGAGAACTAAGAAGAACATCGCCGACGGAAAACATTTTCAGAAGTACAAGTCGGATATCCAAAAAGCAAAGGTTTAAAGGCAAATAATGAAATCAATTTAGTAAAACATAAACTGAAAAAAGTAGAATAAAAATCCTCGAGTACAAATGCAAACCTAGATGAGATGCATAGGGTTTTAATAGAAAACCAAGGAGAACACGAAAATAGTACAAGATAACAATACAATCACAACAATTAAAAGGTTTAATCCACAGATGCCAATCCTAGATGACCAAGGACCAGAAGGCCAGAGAAAAATATACGTATATATATACACACACATATAGATATACATACGATGTAACGCTGGTAGAACTTGCGCTTGAAGTGATCGATGACACCAGAACGAGAGGCCAACTGAGGAGGGATCAGTACGTTGGACCAGTAATCCGCCCATCTTGGGTCCTTGTCGTAGTCGTACGCCGCCGCCGCTATCTTCTTCAAATTCTGCGGATCGTCTTCTTCCCCCATCACACACACGCAATCTCTCTACGCGCGCACACACTATATAAGCGGACCTTTTCCAGATGGTTTGACGATAATAAACGAGTCGCCGTCGTTTCTTGGATTATTTATTAACATCGATAGTACTAGTATTGCAATGGAAATATGGAATCATATAACTGTTCCAAAGGGGATCGGTGATACGTCGCCGTTTCATTCCCTTAATCCGTACCAGGTCACGACAGAGTGACGATATTTGACACGACTCCAATACAATGATGGTATAAAAGTATAATTGTTTCAACTCTAACGGCCATGATAATTAAACGTAGGGATTGGCGCTCTATATTTATTCTTCACTTCATATCTTATTCACAAAACTAATATTTGTCCACCAACAGTATTAGTTACTCCGATGGCAATCATAAGTTGAAAAGATAATCGCAAAATAACTCTTTAAGTTTCTTTTATATATAGATTACCACCATCCAATAATTATCTGTTTGATTTGTTCAAAATCGCTGGAATTGGTTAGGTTTGGCGGCCCCACCACCCAATAATTATTTATTTATTTTTTTAAAAAAATCTTCTTGTAGTCTACTACTTTGGGCTAAAATTATTATTTATAATCCTTTGAAATATTATGGATTAGACAAGGCAGTATGCATATGGATATTGGTTTTGTCACCGAAAAGAACATTGCCAAAAAATAAAAATAAAAATAAAAATAAAAATTGATTAAGATTCAACACTAGAATATCAAATATTTTGAATCAAATTTCACCTAAAAAAAGATGAATTCGATGAAATCCGGAAGAAGCGTGATACAGTGGAAAGTAAGGGCGATAGTTATGGGCACTTATTGAAGTTAGTGGTGGTGGTGGAATGTGAAAACAAACGATGACGGTGGTGGTGGGTTGGAGGTAACCAGAAGGTTGAGGATCGGAATGGGTTTGTGAGTTAATATTAATGCAGTAATTGATAAGTGAGATGGATAATGGAGGCGTGAAAAATGGAGAGGCTTTGTCCAATTTTTTTTTTAATCCCGAGAGAAACAAAAATCTCTGGGTGTAGTATAGATTCTAATATTTAGGAATTAATGGTGTTTTTGTCATTTAAAATAAATTAAGATAAAGTTAAAGGGCGGCTAGAAGATATAGGTGAAATATCTGTTCTATTAAATGCAAGTATCTTATTATATTGGTGTCAATATTAGTATCCTAAATAATGTGTATCATACTATTTAATAGGGTGACTGATATAAATTTGATCAATTTAATATAAATTTTGATTATTAACAGATCAGGATCTTTTAATATCATTAAAATTTCATGGAGGTAATGTAAAAATATGAAGGGAACAAGTGCTTGCACGATGACACCAATGATAGTCCAAAATATAATTAAAAGTAAATTACACTTGCCTCCTCTTCAATTAGATTTATTACGCTTACTTTTTATATATTTTGAATAATTATAATTATTTTGGTGTTGACGGTTCATATCGTGGGACTGGGAGGACAGACAATACACAAGTTACAACCCACAATTGGCTTGGCAAAATGAGTGCCATGTTAAATAGCAGCATTGGAATCTTTAAGGCGCATCAACATCTCTACAATGGCCCACCTTATTAGTTTTACGTTAAAATATGAAGACTCAGAAAATATATATATATATATTTTTAGTTAGCACCATGAACTCTCCTAGGCACCTTAGGTTATAAATCTGGAGATGTAGAGCCTATCCCAAGGATACACCGATGAGTCGGAAGACATAGATGGCTTGAGAGGAGTTGAACACTGTTGACTCGAAAATATTTTGAATTTTAACAATTGCAGTAAAAACTACAAGAGACTAGGCAATTATTTTGGAAATAAAAATAAAAATATTATAAAAAGGTTGATCATGATTAGTCTAAAAAAGGTCTCGTGGAAGCTGTTTTTCATCACCTGTCCATCACCATTAGACCAATGCATTACATGAAGATTTCCATATAAACTACTTTTGATTGCATGAACAATTGGAAGTCTATTTGTTATAGCCGTTACCCAGTGCTGCAAATATTAGAATGTCAAACCAAAGTTGGTGAGGGTTCTCCCCAGAACACGGACAAAGGAGTTCGTTAGTTTTTTACCAATGAACTGACTCAACAACCTGGGACTCGGCTTCCTTTTTTTTTTTTTAAGGCAAGAAGTTAGATTAATAGATGCAGAGAGTCGAAACTTAGTACTCCAAAATTCACAAGAGGCACTAACCCACTGAGCTATCGAGACATCTACGGACTCAGCTTCCATTGCTTTTATAATTATAGTTTCCTTGATTGTGAAAGTGCTAATAATTCCACTAGCATACATATAATCAAGGCTATCAAATTCTGCAGTTCTCATCCACCATTACTTCAAAGATATCAGACTTTAAACTCTTAAATCCCAGCGCCAAAATGAGATGTGATCTTCATAAACATTCTTTGAGCAAGTCATGTCTCTATGTATCAACTTCGATCTAAAGGGGGTTACTGGAACATTATTGCATGGAACTATGACACAAGGAAGAAACATTAACCAAAACATGCGTGGCACGAAGAACTATATAGAGTAAATAAATGAAATCTCAGAAGTTACTTGGTACAGGGTACAGCTGTATCAATGTATATTGATGTAAAGAATATAATAATAATGATAATATTAATTTCATCTAAAATCTATACAAGCAACATGTCAGAGAAAACAAAATTGCAGGGAAAAAAATGCACATTAGAAACTAATTACAAGAACTCAATCTCAATGGAAGGAACAAATATAATTCTGAGACAAAGAAAAGCTTGCACCCTTTCAAAAAAATGTTGTTTTTAAGTAAATGTTAATAACTTGCTGTTGGCTTCATGATGCCACAGTGAGGTTTATACTAGTCTCGGTTACTCTTGTGTCCATGATGATCCAATGGGTGCTGATGTATGCCATTCACTGCAATCTCAACTTCTCCAGCTACTGTGGGATTGGTTAAAAAATTCGGAACTGTAGTCTTGACTTCCGAATGCCATCCTCTGGAACATTCTGATTTGTGCAGATTGTTGTCTTGAATCAAAGACTTCACTTTGTCCAGGTCTCATTCCATTGGTAAGATCTGAGAACTCACTTATGGACTCTAAAGCTCTCACCACCTGAGAAGCGCAAGGAAAATAGAAAATTATTTACCAAGAGAAGAGGAAGTTGAGGAAATGATAAGAAAAAGTAGCCAAGGTGTTTTTTTATCTTGATGTACCTGACTCATTCGTGGCCTCTTTGAAGCTAAATGACGCACACAAGCTGCAGCTGCTTCAATCATCCGGAACATCTCACTTTGAACGAAGTTCTTTTCCAGCCTTGGATCTACCAACCCTTCGAAGTCTTCACTGTCTAGTGCTTGAGTAAGCAAAGGTCGAGCCTGCAAGACAACTCCGATTATTGATGATACTGCATGGTCTGGTAGGATAGTGAAGATGTGATTACACTCGAAAACGATGCAGGAAGATTAGGGAGAGCATATGATAGGTTTTGAATCTCTACAACCTTATATTAAACTACAAGGCATGAAAAAGCATAATTCTAAATCAACCAAATTCTAGAAAATGTTTTTCGACAAAGTTAGCAGGTTTTACAAGCTAAATTTCCACCCAGAATGGCAGAAAATGACATTTCTCTGCTATATGAACAGAAAAAGAAGCTTTTTGCCCATGTTCGCTTTACCATCAGCTAAATTTTAAGGTTCGCTAGAACACAAGCTATATATATATATATATATTATATATATATATATCCTTAATACTCTCTTTGCCAAACTAATTCAGTAGTTATTATCATTACTGAATCAATTTTATTTATTACTATGCAAAATTTGAGCAAGAGAAAAATGCAGTTCTTTGCCTGATTACTGACAAGATCTGAAAGAGGGAATCAAAAAGAGGAATTACAGGAAACAAGAAGAGGGCGATCCGAAAAGAAATAGACATCAAACTTATCAAAAAAAAAAAAAAATGACATCACAGAATTTCAACTTCCTCCTCTCTTCCTATTTCTTCTTGTCAACCAAACACAGCATAACCGAACCCTAATATCAATTTTAACTAAATATAGAAGGATAATCCTTTTATGTGTTTGTTTAGACGTACTAACATCTGTAATGTTTTTTGCTAATGACACTACTGTTTTCCAGCAATTTGGTACATTGTCAATTCACAGATCCTTGAATAATACAATTCTCATGATATGTTCCACCTGTGATCGAAATAATGCCTCCTATTTTGATTTGTGCCAGTGTGTGATTAATACTAAGAAAATAGGGGGAACATGAGATTAAATTCTCTAGTCTCTAGCAAGTAGCATATCATTATGCTTCTTTTTTGTGCCACTATGGGTTCGCAAGAAAGAAAATGGATTGCAAGGTTCAATTCTCCACCAGGCAGCATATTCAAGATGTTTCTTCTTTTTTCTCCAAAACTGGTTTCCTAATCCACATTACCACATCTTTGCATTAAATTCAAACTGCCAGAACATGTATCGGCCTTGGATATGCAGTTCGGCAATTGTGTCTTTCATGACAAAAGAATTCCCAACTAAAAAAGTAATGAACATAATCTAGACACCACCAGAGAAGCAAATGACTAAAAAAAAAAAAAAAAAAAAAAACCCATAGGGAGGGAGAGGAAAGGAAATAATTTCCAATCCCGGAATTCTCTTTTACTTTACTTCCAGCCTTCAATTTTTAACATACTTGTAAGATCTCTATGAACATGAACCTAGGGAATATACATAGAGCGAAATGACAAGACATGATTTATATAGCTGACCCCAAATAGTTAGAAGAAACTTTGTTGAGTTGAATTTTGTAAAGTAATCAAAGCACTCCAAAAAAGAAAATCCACAAATTTGTACAAAGGGAGTTCATGAACATGGAGCTTACCCATTCAACTAGACTCTCATCACCCAACGGCTGAGATGCATCCACAGGCTTGCGACCAGTAATGAGCTCTAAAAGCACAACTCCGAACGAAAACACATCAGACTTTTCAGTCAATTTGCCACTTGATGCGTACTCTGGAGCCATATATCTGGAAAATCAACCAAGGCCATCCATCAGATGAATGCAAATAAGGCAAATGAAAACATGAAATACATCCAGAATTTTCCATTGTCTCAGACGCCTTCCCTACCATATCCTTGAATGAAAGATGTAATATATCCAGTCCCATTTGATATGACATGTTTTGGTTCTGAATATATGCTTTTAATCAAATTGCAATGTGGCAAAGCCATCTATTTTAAAGATCGACAGAAATGTCTTTTAGGCAATTGCTCAACATTTTATTGTGATTATATAGCACATGTACAATATCACATTTATGTGACAGCATTTTCCTGCTCAGACGATTAAGCACATACAGATGACCTACCCAAAGGTTCCCATCACACGTGTGGTCACATGTGTATTCGCATCCAATGCTAGTTTTGCAAGTCCGAAATCTGCAACCTATCAGTGAGAGAGTATGATGATTTAAATAAGTATTGCTTTAAAAAAAATGATATGTCAGATGCCCAAACTGCCAAACATGTTTTTATCTTTGAAGCATGTTGGTGATTCAGTTTAATACGGAGTACTATGTTGCTGAAAGGCAACAAATGATGACATTTTGCTGACCACAGGCATGATGTGACTGGAGTTTAAAGGAAATTGTTTCCAAAGAAGATCTAGGCTGTAAAATTGGGCATACCTGAGCTTCAAAGTCGTTATCCAAGAGAATGTTTGATGACTTGATATCCCTGTGAATAATCCGGGGATGGCCTGATAAACAAATTAACAAGGAAAAATAAAAGAAAGCAAATACGTCTTAGTACATGTCAGTGATAAAATCAGATCTAGAAACTTAGGTAACAAGGATAGAGCATACTTTCCATTAAACACTGTTAACAATACACTTTGTTCAACTATTAATGTTATTCTTATTCAGATAAAAGTTACAAGATTCTGGAAACAATTTCCTTTAAAACATCAAAAGTTAAAACATGTCTGTTTCTTGCATTTTTCAGCATCGGATACGCCAATATTTTACTTGAATGGAAAACTATGACTAAACAAGCATGTCAAAACATCAGAATATGGTGAGATTATTCTTTCTGGCAACTATGCATCTCTCAACTATAGAATCTAATAATCTACAGACATTGAAAAGAAAGTGCATAATAAACATAAAAAAGAAAATTACAATCTTCATGAAGATAAGCTAATCCACAAGCTGCGCCAGCAGCAACTTTAAATCGAGTACCCCAATCCATAACTGGCCGATCTTCATCTGTAAATATGTCAAAGAAAAAAAGGAAAAAAGAAAGAAGTATAAAATGGAAATTAGTGAGATTACGTGGTGATTTTAAGTCTCAAACTAAAGCATGAGGCCTCAGGCACCTTGGCTGGACATGTAGCATTTTTGGTAACAGAGAATCCACCATGACATGGACATCTCTTAAGAGATTGTCAATGTAAAATCAATCGTGATTGGTCAAATCAGGACACAAAATACTGTGTAGGTAATTTACGTGGGATATTCCAAGTTTGACTCGCAAACCATATACACAGAGATAGTGTATTTTTAGAGGTTAAAGTACTCAAAACTGGAGATCCTTTTTCCAATCTCAAAAAGTATATCTTACCATGGAGATGATAATGAAGGGTGTTGTTTGGAACATATTCATAGACAAGCAATCTTTGATGCTCTTGTATACAGTAACCCACAAGTGAAACCAAATGGCGATGGTGTACTCGGCTGATAATCTCGACTTCTGCTCTGAACTCACGCTCCCCTTGTCCACCACCAATCTTTAGCTGTTTAACAGCTACTTCTCTTCCATCTGTGAGGTATCCTTTGTAAACACAACCAAACCCACCCTCACCCAAAAGATTTTGAGCTGAAAACCCATTTGTAGCCTCAGCTAGTTCTTCATATGTGAACCATGACCTTGAATTGCCGTATAGGCCGGGCTCTGTAGAGTACACGAAGTTGCTTCCAGAAGCACTTCCAGCTAGGTTAGAATTCTGGGGCCTTAGGAATAATGAACCTGGAAAGCAGATGCAAGTCCCGTCATCACAATACATTTATCATACTTTGTTCAGCAGCTCCAGTATACAGATCACATCAGAAATTGTATGGCATATCATTCAAGAATAGTGTCTTCCTAAATCATTATGCTTCATTTTATTGATAGAAAATGTCATAAAAGAAAAGATAACTAGGGGTGATATGAGTCATGAAAATACAACATAGCACAGGATTCCAAGTTCACATAGCTTCATTTAAAATGATTCAGAAGAGAATATTTATGCCGCATATCCATTCCCCTTTCCTCAATGTTCAAAAGCCATGATAAACCAAGAGCTTAACAAAAGATGCAGCCCTGCAGCGGAAAGATGGAACACGATTTATGTGGCTAACCTATTAATTGGAATGGATATCTATTAGTTCAGTTTAGTTTAGGTGATGCCAATCAGTTTGGACTTTTCTTGAGTTGAACAAGTTGAGTTTCCACATTGCTAGTTAACAAAATGATCAAAATAGTATATGTCCTGCGAATAATATTATTCAATATGTATTGGACAGTTCTGAATTTCATCAAACAAAATGCGTGGAGATGTAATGTCTACTTGTACTACAAAGGGGATTATAGGGTATTACTAAGGGAAAGATTACACGTTAGATGGATCATTATAGAAACAATTTGAAACAGAAACTGAATATAAGATTTTAAGATCTAAGATTGTAACATGTGACTAAAAAAACAAAATAACAATTGAACATCATTCAAAATATCACCTGAATTTTGGGAGGAAGCAAATGGAGAAGGCACACCATTCTCAGGTCCCCTTTTCTTTCGTTTGTGTGTAAACCACACAGCCATCAAAACAAGACTAAGTACCAGAAAACCAATGACAATGCCAATTGCAATTGCACCTCCAGCCTTGATCCCACCCGTATGTCTGGATGTAGCATTTGCTGTTACATTTGAACCAGGAACAGTTGACTTTGCAGTTGGTTTAGCTGCAGGTATAGAGGGTAATGGAGATGAAGGGGCAGACCCTCGGACTGATGAATTACTAGTAGGAGCAGGAGGAGAGGTAGAAGGCGGTGAAGATGATGAGGGGACAGGAGGAGGAGATGATGTAGAACCTGGAGGGGAACCTGTTGAAGCCGGAGGAGCAGGAGGAGAGATAGAAGGCGGCGAAGATGATGAGGGGACAGGAGGAGGAGATAATGTGGAACTTGGAGGAGAGTTCGTTGAGGGTGGAGGAGCAGGTGGAGAACCAGATGGAGGAGGAGCTGAAGGAGAACTTTTTGGTGGCTTTGCAAGTGGTGGAGGTGGAGAATTGGAGGAAGGTGGCGATGGGACTTCTGCTGGAGGGGGCGGAGTAGATGAAGCGGCTGGAGGAGGCGATGAGGTTGCCACTGGAGGGGCTGGTGAGGCTTTGGGAGGAGACGAGGACGGTGGTGAAGGGGGCGGAGAATTTGTAGCTGGAGGAGGAGCAGAAGGAGGTGAAGGTGGTGGAGATGGTGGAGGTGATGATGGTGGAGATGGTGGAGGTGATGATGGTGGAGGTGACGATGGTGATGATGGTGGGGTCGGAGGAGACGCAGTGGGAACTGCCACTGGAGGAGATTGGGGAGGTGGGGTTGAGGAGTTAGTAGGGGTTGAAGGAGCCGGTGTGTCAGGAGTCTGATTGGGCTGAGATGATGCAGGAGGAGGAGGTACAGTGGTTGAAGAATTTGAAGGAGAAGAGGAAGGAGGTGGTGAAGAGTTTGGAGAAGGTGATGTTGGGGCCATCTTTCTAACAAACTCCCCTTGAAAATGAAATTTGTATCTAATCACCTATACATCCATATGTATGTTGGCATAATAAACAACACCAAAGTCCAATCCTTTTTCTCACTACATACAACACAAACTTCATTCAATAGCAGAATTCAACCCAAGAATTCCTCCAATTATTCAAAGTCCTTCGCTATAAATACTCAAGTTCTCCAAAATACCTAGAAGAAACTTCAATTTCGGCCGAGAATTTGGTAATATTACAAAAACCAATCAAAATCTAACTGGGAAAACCTAATGTGAGCAAAACCCAGATCACCAATTCCAAGATTTTGAACCAGAAACAAAAAAAAACAGATCAACAAAGTACCAGATTTCTAAGCTGATATAGGCAACATCCAGATTTACAAATATTATCTCCAACCCTAAATTTTCATGGCCAAATGCAGTACATTCGGATCACCAGAATGAATAATTGAAAAAAGAAAAAGAACAAAAAAAAGTCTGACGCTCAAGACTCAAGTAAGTCTTACCTTTCTCTCCCACTTACACGTTGGAATTTTCGATTTCCACTGGATTTCCCAAATGTTCCTTTGTGAAGGAAAAATAGTACAGTTGTGTCCACGAAATGCGCAAAGAAACGTGGGCGCGACTTCGAATTAGTCTACACGAGAGAGAGAAAGAGAGTCACGGCACGTATAGTGTTGAGAAGCACCAAGAGGGGCTTAGCTGTTTATATCGACAAAACATATACGAAATGCTTGTATATGTTTATATCGACAAAACATATACGAAATGCTTGTATATGTTTATATCGACAAAACATATACAAGCATGTGACAAAAGTTGTAGTGATTGTTGTGTGCTACTATTCTGAAACGTTAAGAGGAAGAGTTAGTCAAAGAAAACATCAAAGCCATGTTAGAGAGTTTCTGCTCTGCAATCATAGAGACATGTTCTCGAAAATAATATATACAGTAATCAGTATATATATAGAGAGACAGACACACGCTCGCACCTCAGATGCTAAGATATCATTCTCATTGTCGGTCTTTTTCTGCCAATTCGTTTGTACGCGTTTTAATTAGGGAATCAAAGAACTACTGGTGTAGTATTTTCTAATTAATTATTGAATTTGAGATACCCAAAAGTCAAAAGTTGTTAATCAAAAAGTAGTATATATTAGTATAAAGCTTTCTAAAAATTTTAGGGTAAACTAGACACTCAATTGTAAACAAATCTTATTTTGACATATTTTGCAAAAACCTTTACATTTTGCCAGAAAATTTATTTAAAGAGACCAAAATGCCCTTTTACAAAACAAGCTTTGTTTTAAGAACATCTCCAACAATATTTTTTTTTTTGTGTAAATGATTTGTCATAATAAATTTGCACAAAAAATTTGAATTATTTACTTTTAGTTACAGTGGTTGTTTTATACCTTCCAAAATCAATATATGGTTGATTCTTTAATGAAATAAGAAAAGAGGAGGAGAAAATAAATATGTCGATGTGATTGTGTAAAATATAAAATAATTTTACACATCAGTGACGTGGTAGTGAATCTTAACAGATTGCTGAATATAAAAAAAATGACACATCATACATGACAATGCATATTTTAGGCAAAACAATATTTTAACAGATTGAACAAAATAAATTTTTTTTTTTATTTGTATACACCCACCACACAGATAATTTGTCAGCTATATTTTTTTTCGTGGCAAGGATATTGAGATCTGTCAATTAAGGCTCTATAACTTCAAAATGGTAAAGATTTATTATTATTATTATTATTATTAAGTAAGGAAATTAATGGTAAAAGATTCTCCCAATCTCTTCATAATTTTTCATTTTTGTGGGATTATCCCAATCTCTTCGTGATTTTATTTTTTGTGGGATTATCCCAATGAAAAATTTGTATATACCAACTAAAATACAAATCCTAGATTTCTTAGTTGAAAAGTTTGTGTTCTTAATTATATATGGGTTAAATGCAAAAAAAATCCCACTATTATAGATATAGTGCGAAAAAAAGCCTATGTGTAGTATACAACCCTCCCATACCATCAATAAAATGAAATAATATTTAAAAAATTCAAGCTACATAAAATTAAAATTTCAGACAATTCCCAAACTCACCAGCGAAGCTAATATTTTTGTGACAAATATACCCTTAAAAATATTCCTATGACTCATTTTACTATAAACAATATCCATCTCTCTGGCAATATTCCATGACTGCACAGACCCACCTGTGAAGCTTTTTATTTTATTTTCTTACATCATACGTGCTATATGTTTTTCTTTTTTATGCAAATTTGATATTGAAAAACTCTTCCTGCTGCTTGAGGATTTACTGAAATTGAAAACTTGTACTATTTTCACCATGTCCCTGGTTTGGTATTATTTGTTGATGCTATTTGTGTCCTACAGTTTGTGCACATTTTGTTAGGGGTAAAATAGGAATAAAAAAAATAAAATGGGGTTTTTATATTTACCTTTTGTCAAAAGGTGTATTTGCATTTTTTTTGAATTTTATAGACTCAAATACATATTTTCAAAAAGAACAACAATTTGTGCACAAAACCTAGACTTCTCGGGTAAGGCTAATGCTAAAAATATATTGACTCAGTATAGAAAGTTTAACATAATATAATTATACGAGCAATGAATGTATACGCTGTAGAATTTTTCCATGGGCATTTCATTTTGAGGTGGAAGTTCATGTTAAGGCTTTGTTTATTTAGACTTAAAATATTTTTAAAAAAATATATTTTTAGTTTTTAATGTTTAATTGCTGAAGATGCAAGAAACTCCTTCTATTCTTTCTCTCTCTAGAATTCTTACACCTCAACCCGAAAAGATCCCTCTCCTCTTCATTCCAACTCCTATTTATAGATATTTACAAGATATTTACAAGATATTTACTGATTGCTGGATCTGGGCCTATTCCTCTGTAAGCCCTGGTCACCCTTGATGGGCTTACTCCCGTTCGGCCCATATGGCAGTGTCTTTCTATGGGCTGACCCAGCTGTTCGGACTGAATGTTGTGTTTTGCGAGTCGGACCTGGCCCATGTCATCCGGGGCCTCCTCAACTGCCCCCATAATTGCCCCTTATTTAATAAGGGGTAATTATTGATGGCGTCTCATCATGACGCTGACGGCTCGAGATAACCACGTGGGGGAGCGGACGGTCAGATCCAGAATCAATGTTCCGAGGCTCGAGGGATTTCTCGCCTTCCCGACGCTTCGGCCCTCGGGCCCCCTCGCCTTTATAATGCTCTAGAATTCCACTTCACTTCCCTTTACCTTCTCCATCATCAGCCAAGTCTCTCTCTTTCTAGAACAGTGCTAAGCTTTTTCCGGTGAAATCCTTCGAGAGTCATTCTTCCAGCGATCTTGCAGTCCTCCGAGGTTAGTTTCGTTCTTTTTACTTTCGACAGGCTTCCATTTTCCCTCTTTTAGATTCTTCTAGCACTTCCACCATGGTTGTAGATCTGGATGTTCTTCGTATGAGACTTAGGCTTCCTGACAACATCGAAGTTAGGGTTTGCCCCCAAGACGTTAATATTACGACCGGCGCCGGCTTCCTGCCCGGCGAAGTCTTATTCACGAACCTTCAATTGAATGTTGTTAGGTTCCCTCTGCACCCTTTCTTTAGTTATGTCTTCAATAGATTGGGGATATCCCCTCTGCAGGTCAACCCCAACTTCTTTAGGATCATATCTGTTATGCTCTTATTGATGCGTGACAGAAATCTGGACCTCGACCTCATAGACCTCCTTCTGTGCTATAAGGTCAGTAAGATCCGTACTAACGAGCCCTTCTACCACCTCTACCCGTTCGAGAAGATGTCCATATGCACTGACACAATAAAATCTGAAAAGGGTTGGAGGGATAGCATAGTGGGCATTAGTGGGGCTTGGTCTTCGCCGGCTGCAGAGGATTACCCAATCCCGAGCGCCTTTGGTGTCTGCTCTGTCTCCTCCTATAAAAAATTCAAATCCCATAAACATGACTGCCCCTGTGAAACATGCGTTCCTCGTTTTTGCACTTACTTATGCCGCTCCTTGGGAATACCTTGTGATGATTTGAGCTATAGTGTTTGCAGGGATAGGAGTAACTACTTGAAGAGATACGTTCTGAACGATATTCCTTCCTGCTCAGATCTCCTCACTTCAGACAACCTCTTTGCGCTCTCATCACTCGGCTACAACATGAGCAGACTTCAGATTCCCTCTTTTGGCAGGAGGAAAAATACTCCCCCAGCCACTCCTGCTGCTGGGGCGACCTCCTCTCCAGCGTCAGCTTCTTCTTCAGCCACCATATCTGACACTGTCCCGAGCGCAGTGGCTACTAACCCTGTTGCCAGCGCCCCTGCTGCCAACCAGAACGCGCCCTCCCCAGCTACCATAGCTCCTGCTGCTGCGGGGGGCGGTCGGGACAAAGAACGAGGCAAAAGGCCTCATCCTGACAGTGAAATCGATCCTGAGGAGGAGCCTCTCATTAGAAGGACCCGGGTCTCTGGGCCGGGTACTCTCTTGCACCGAGCGATCAGAGCTCCTTCTCCCTCTGGGCCTCCCGCAGCTGGTGGCTCTGCTTCTGCTTCAGGCCCCCCTTCTATCCCCAGCTTACCGCCATGGGCCCCTCGGTACACCCGAACGGATGGGACGTTCGTCAAACCGAACGAGACCATGCTGAAGGATGGCCAGACCGCTATGGCCTACTACAGGAGCATGTGGACTCCGAAGGACCTTGAGGCGGCAAAGGGCCTTTCCCAGAAGGACGTGTTCAGTCGCTTTCCCCAATCTGCTATGGAGGTGACTTTTATTTTCTAACTTATGAATTCTCTCATATTACTTGGTCCTGCCTTCGCCCGTTCTGACTATTGGTTTAACCGTTTTTAATGTGCACCTATGCAGACATTGTTCGGGATGATGGCCATGCAGAAGCAGGTGGAGATGGGGAACGCCAGGGCCCGAAAGTATTCTGACAGCCTGGAGGTGGCTAATAAAGAAAACGACCTCCTTGCCATGAAGAATACCGAGGTGCTGGTTCGGCTCGACAAAGCCGAGCAAGAGAGAGATGTCCTGAAGAAGGAGAATGATTCCCTTCAGGATGAGAAGGACGCCCTCCAGCTTGAGAAGAGCGTCTGGCAGACGGGAATCAATTAGAGAAGAGAAGGCAGAACTCCAGCGCCTTCTAGCTGATGAACAGTCTGCTCGGATGGCTTTTGAAAAAAGAGCTCTCGACGAGCGTACCGCTCTGATCGACGCGATCAGCAGAGTGGGTGGTGGGATGCTGGCCCTTCACGCTCGGTTCTCCAGGGTCGGTGCTCTTCGGTATGCTCAAGGATTCCGGGAAGGTTTCGCCGACCGGGTTCCGGATGAGGGACAGACCAGCTCCACTCCGGATGAGGTAGACAAGGATCTGGGGATCGAACCTCTGGGGGTCTATGTCGACCCAGAACCCACCGAAGCGGAACGTATATTTGATGAGTGCCAGACATCGCATCCTCAAGGATCATCACAGCTCCTCCTACTGCTCTGCCACTGACCGCTCCCCAATCGTCAACCGTGGCTCCTTCTATAGCCACTGCTGACGCTGAACCCCAGCCGAACGATTCAGTCATTCACCTGGATTCCCCACCTCATGAGGGTGAGGCGGCTGATGGGGCCGAGGAGGCGAGTCGGCAAGACCAGGATGCTGTTGGTACTGAGGCGTCTAGCTAGGGCTCCTTCGAATTCTTCTAGTTCATATCTTCTTGTAATGATGGACATCTCTCTTTTGTAAACTCAATGTTCAATATTAATGAAATGACAGAACTCTTTTTCCCTATGTGTTGTGCTCTATTCAACTTATCTTCAGTACATACATATCTTTTCTCTTTTTTTCTTTTTATATTAGCTTTGCCGTGTGTTTGTACGGCAAGTGCCTGGCGTTCGGCTAGAATGCCCCTTGCCACTT